GTGTGTGTGTGTGTGTGTGTGTGTGTGTGTGTGTGTGTCCCGCAGGCCTTGGCACTTCACCCCCGTCACCCCCACCCAGTGAGGGCCATGTGTCCAGTCCAGGCTGGGACACCCAGGGCCCACCTCCTCCCTCCCCCCTCTGCACTCTGTGCCCGGTTCCCCGATCGCTCCCTTCCTTCCCTCTCTCAGACGCCCACCTGTGCTCTGCACAGGGCAGCCTCACTGGTGGTTTTTAATATTGCCATGAAATTCATGTAACAGAAAGTTAACATTTTAAACTGAACAATCCAGTGGTGTTCAGAGCGTTCACGAGGTTGTTCAACCACCGCCTTCATCTAGTTCCGAAACATTCCACCCCAGAAAGGAAGTCCGGGGCCGGACTTAGCAGTCCTGTGGGCCGCCGGCCCCCAGTCCCTACAACCACCAACCTGCTCATGAATTTGTCTGTTCCGAATATCTCACAGAAGTGCAATCATAAAACATGTGGCCTTTTGTGGCTGGCTTCTTTCACTCATGTTTTCCAGGTCTTGGTTTAAATGTCACAGCCTCTAAGGGACCCTCCGTGATCTCCCCCGTCCCTAGACACCCCAGGCTCCTGCCCATCAGCTCATAGCCCTCCGCAGCATCGGACATCATCCTGACCTCCTCTCTGGATGGTCTTTCCTTTTTTTTAAAGATTTTATTTATTTATTTTTAGAGAGGGGAAGAGAGGGAGAAAGACAGAGAGAGAAACATCAATGCGTGGTTGCCTCTCAAGTGGCCCCCACTGGGAACCTAGCCTTGCAACCCAGGCATGTGCCCTGACTGGGAATCGAACCTGCGACCCTTTGGTTCGAAGCCTGAGCTCAAGCCACTGAGCTACGCCAGCCAGGGCCGTCCATTTCCTTTTCAAAGCACAGGCTCAGAAGGGAAAGGAATCAGTTTCATTCTCTCAGAAAGCTGTGAATGAATGGAGGACCCCCATGACACCATCCTTCTTCCTCGTCTTCCTCTGCCCCATTGTGTGCTCTCTGGCTCTTCCTCGAAACTCGGATACAATTCAATAATGTTTGTCACACACTTACTGTGTGACAGGTCCCGTCCCAAAGGTCAGGACAGGCAGTGGATGGAGAGGGTCCCCGTCCCTGTGACATCTTCGCCCTCGAGATGGAGACCGATTTTTAAAAATATTTATTTATTTATTTTAGAGAGAGGGGAAGGGGGGGAGAGAAACATCGATCCATTGCCTTTTGCACCTGCCCCATCAGGGACAGAACATGCAACCCAGTCATGTGCCCTGAGCAGGAATCGAACTGGTGACCTTCCACTTTACAGGATGACGTCGAACCAGCTGAGCCAAGCCAGTCAGGGAAAGGTGGAGACAGAATTTTACTGCAGCCGAAGTTGTTACTGGGAAGATCAACGGTTCACATCCAGCCCACTTATTCAGTTAACAAATGCTTATTGGACAACTACTGTGTGCAGGACTTACATAAATAACCATAAGTGTTTTGGTGTGGATGATCAGGGAAAGCCTTTCTTTAGGAAATAGCGTTTGAGCCAAGATCTGAAGATGGAAAAGGAGAATCACATAAAGGCAGAGAATGTTTGCCTGGTGAGAGATGATCACTAGAATTAGTGGGAGGATCAATTGTAAGTATAAAAATGTCTGATCACCAATTATGCCCCTGAAGCTAATATAACTTATATAATATTGTATACTTAAATTAAAAATAAATTTAAAAAATTATAAAACAACATTTCTAAGAGGCCGAGGGCAAAGCACTGTAGCAGAGGGACCAGCAAGCAGGAAGACTGGAGGCAGAAAAGTCATTTCAGGAAGAGACAGGTGACGCGCAGCAGTGAGGGAGGCAACGGCTCGCTTGCTGCTGGCTCCACCATGTTCAACGGGGTCTGTAACCACTCCGAGCCTCAGTTTACCCATCTATTAGTGAGAATAATGATAATAATAATGAAGCCTTTTGCAGAGGATGGACAAAATCCAAGGCAAAAGGACTGGCCCAGACCAGGTGGCTGGGAAACGAGGGCCATTGTCCTGGGTGACCGGCCCTTGGTGATCACGGTAATTGTGGGGCCAGTATAATTCTCTGCCTCCGTCTCACCTGTGGTCTTTTTTAAATTGCAGGTGCTATTACAGTTGTCGCAATTTCCCCCTCTGCCCTTCCCCCAGCGCCCCTTCCCACAGTGGACCCCACACCGTCGATCATGTCCATGTCACCTGTGGTCTTTCAGGGCTGTCCTCCCCGTCCACTGGTTGGAGCCACCTTATCTCTAGCTCTTCCTGTTTAGCTGGGCCTGCCCCCCCTTAGGGGAAGGCAGCTGTACAAAGAAGAAAAGAGCAACATCTGCCTTTTCCTTCCATGAGTCTGCCTCATGGAGCAGTTTTACCCGCCCCTCACTCACAGCTCAGAAAGGGTCGGAACCAGAGATGGGATGAGCACTCTGGCCCACAGAGCAGGGCATGTAGGCTGCCTGTGGGGCGGTGAGTTACAGCAACTGTGGTCAGTCGCTCCTTTCTCAGATGATGAGCCAGCTCTCCTGTGCATGTGTGGTGGGTTTATTTATATTTTTCACTCAGCCTCACATACCACAGGATGGAGTGGGGTGGGGGAAGGACAGTTACGGGAGAAATGTGCTCAGAAATTCCCCAGCACCGCTATCTCACTCAGAGAGGAAGACAGAGCCCTCACCTCGACCCACAGGCCCTTTATGACCTGCCTCCCAGTCACCTCCCCGTGTTCACCTCCTCCCTCTCTCCCCAACCAGAGGGGCCTCCTCCACGTTTCCCCAACTCACCAGGCACGGTCCTGCCCCAGGACCTTTTCACAAACAGTTCTCTCTACCTAGGGCGTGCTGTCCCCCTGCACATGCATTGCTTCCTTGAGTCTTTGCTCAAATGTCACCATCTCAGCAAGGCCCTTCCTGACCTCTCTATCTCACTCCTTATAACCCGCCCACCGCTGCCTCTCCCTGGCCCCCTCTCTCTTTGTTTTCCATGGCGTCTTTTGCCAACGATCCTGCACTCGTACATTTTCCGGTCTGCCTCCCCCTCGGGGCTGCCAGCACCACAGAAGCAGGAACCACATCTGTTTATTCGCTGTTCTTTCCTCAGGGCCTGGAGCAGGATACATAATCAATAAATGTTTGCTGAGAGAATATAGGAATTTTTAGAATAAATGAATAAATAATTATTATGATTGAGATATAAATTTAGCCCTGAGCCCCCTGGTGACCAAAGCAAAAAGGGAAATAGGGTTAGTTACATTCACCATGAGGGAAAAACACACCAGTTCTCAGGAGAAGGCTCTGTGCCAAGCCATTTATGTACTTCTCATCGAACTTTCATAAGAAGTCTCTCAAGGGAGACTCAGGGATGCATGCAAGACCACCCAGCCAAGCAGGATGCTGGCCCTCCACTAAGCCAAATTTCCCCAAACTGGCCCCATTATAAGAATCTCCTGGTTGCTGGTAAAAAGTGCATATTCCAAGGCCTGTCTCCTACAAAGTCTGAATTCAGGAGGCCTGTAACTAAACAGGAGGTGATTCTCCTGATCAAGGCCCCTCGGACACCTTGGACACGCTGGCTGGGTGGCATTACTGAAAGAAAGCACCCAGCCACCCACATCTCCCGGCAGCTGCACCCACTGCCTCCTTTCCTCTGCCTTGTAAATTTAAGTCAGAGTCGGAGCCTCATTAAAGGCCTCTGAAGGGTCAACCACGGCTGTGTGGCATCTTTGTGTGGAGAGTTGGCTCCTCTGCACCCCAAGTCTACCCCCTCAGCTGTGGGGACTGGCTGGGGAGAGACAAGTCAGAGTCACCTCCTCCAGGCAGCCCTCTTTTGCCTCCCCAAGACACTCTTGGGAGATGTGAGGCTCCAAGCCAAGCCGAAAGGGGAGAGAAAACGCAGAGCACTGAGCTATCCGCCCCAGCCCCCAACCCAGGCCTAGAGGCAGTGACCGAGCTGGCAGCACAGGTGTTTAGAAGGGCAGGTGCTGGCTGGTCCCCTTCATGGCTGACTGCTGCAGCTGGGACCAATGGGATGGGAGGCATGGCCAGGTGCTTGTCCCCTGCTCCCGCTGGAGGACCGAGCATCAGGTGAAGAACCAGAACGCGTGGTGAGCTGGCAGAGGAGGGCCAGGCAGTGATGTGCGGGGCTCCCTGCACAGCCCAGCTTTAATGAGCTCTGCGTCTCCAGGGTCCCTGGGAGACTTTTCCTGCAGGGCGGTCCTTTCTGTCTGCCATTGGGGAGCATGTGTGCTGAGCAGTAGAGGGGCAGCGAGCAGCCTGGGAGAGAGAGGAAGCTGACCCCCTCGAATGTTGCCGACCTCTTTCAGTGGCTCGCAGTCCTGACCCAAAACACGGAGGAAGCCATCTGGACTGGGTCAGTCTGACCCCCAAACTAGGTGGCAAGCGAGCTCCCAGGGAGCACCAAGACAGGAGAATGTAGGCATCCGGGGACATTCCTTCCTCCTTCAGCGTGTTCCCAGGCCACCACCCCCAGAACAGAAACCCCAACATCCGGAGGGTGTCCTCCTACTTGTCACTACGCTGAGCACAGAGGGAGGGGCACAAAGATCATAAGTGGGAAGGTGAGGGGACAAGTGAATTGTAAATTAATGAGAGAATGAATCAATGAGTAAATGAGAAACAAATGAGCACAAAAATGAGTGATTAAATGAATAAATGAATGGAAGAACAGACGGATGGATGGATGGATAAATGGAAGGGAGGAAGGGAGGGAGGGAAGAAGGAAGGAAGGAAGGAAAAGTGAGTACCCAAAGCACACACTTTAAGCGGGATGAAAGCCATGGTATGACCCAAGACGAGCCCGATACCCTCCTTCTAGAGTCCTGGACACTGAGAAGTGGACTCTCTCAGCCAGGCCCCCGCCCCCCTTTCTTCTCACAGGCCTTCTCCCGGTACCGGGAGCTGGATCAAGGCCAACCACCACCCCCTTCCTTAACCACCCTTTGTAGCCCTGGCCCTGTCTAGGGCAGCCCTCAGAGGGGACCGTGGCCGCCCTTGCAGCCTCCGGCTGCTCTGCTGGAGGATCGGGCCTTGATGCGCAGTTTGTGCGGCAGCGAGGGCTGAGCCAGACCCTCGGGAAGGTTCCCTGGGACAGGACAGACCGCCCTGGGAGGCAACCCCATGGGATCCACAGCGGGTGTCAGTAACACATCCGAGGGCCCTGAGGCCTGGCAACCAGTGGGCACAGGAGCCCACAGTCCCCAGCAGGGCCTGAGCTCAGGTCTGGGCCCCCCATGTGCACTCAGGAGGTGACAGCTGAAGAAGGTGGCTGGGAGGGAAGCTTGCAAGGCCATGTCCATTCTCTTAGGGTCAGGGGCGGCAGGGTCCTGGGGGAGCCTGGAGGAAGTGGCCGGGCCGGTCCACCTGTGAGCCACTTGGCAGCCCTGGCATCCTGGCACCCCAGCGTCCAGGGAATACGGCCTCAGGACACAGCCAGGGGAGCCAGGCACGTATGGGAGTGGCTCAGGCCCAGAAAGGGGGTCTCCGGTCCAGGGAGTGGTCCACAGCAGAGCCTGCAAGGGCAGGCTCCGGGTGCTGCCAGCAGGGGACAGGAGGCCAAAGTGGTGCTTGAGCGCTCTCAGCTCAGCCCTGAGCAGGGCGTTCTCCTGCAGCACGGTGACCAGCCTGCCCTCCAGGGCCGCGTCATTGAGACGCCGCTTCTCCCGGGACCTCTTGGCTGCTTCGTTGTTCTTCCTCCGCTTTTCCCAGTAAACCGTGTCCTTCTTCTCTTCTGGCAGGAACTCCCGCTGCCTACGCATGGCCGGGCCCCTGCCCCGCACTCCCAGCAGGGTCTTGCTGCGACCCTGGGGGCCACCTGGCAGGCCCAAGAGACCCAAGTCCATGGCTGCCTGAGGGACCTGAGGAACAAGAAGGAGGTCTTGGACTGGCAGCAGGAGGCTGACCCGGATGACCCCTGCCTCTAATTGATCCTCCACCTTCCCAGTCGGGGAAGGGGGGCAGATGGAGTGGAGTGGAAATTGGGCTGGAGACCCAGGTGGGGGCAGAGAGGGGTGTTTTGGAGAGAATGGGAATGGTGTGATGCTTGATGGAGACGCGGGCAAGGCCGCCAGAGAGAGGCCACTCGGCTGGGAAATGCATCCACAATCATCATGCAGGGCCAGTTGGGCGCTTTATCCTGAGGAGGATGCTGGCTCCTTGCTGGGCCTTCTTACCTCGGAGATCAGCAGATAAACCAAGGGTCAGTTCAACTTGAGCTCTGGGGTGAGATTCTTGGAGGCCCCGGAGGGAGCAGAAGAAAGCCAGAACCTAGAAAGAGAGAATATGTGTCCACAGGGTTAATTTGAATCAAATTGAGGTCAAAAAATAATTCACAGCTCACCTTAACTGTGTCCAAGTTGTATGTACATCCAGATCCCATCAGTGGCCAGTTTCACACTTGCCTGCCCATTCGCCTACCCGTGTGTTCATAAGGTCATCTATTTACCCATCCACTCCCTCAGCTGTACATTTGTCTGTCCCTCTACCAGCCTCCCCAACTAACTCACCATCCATCCACTTATCCATGTATCCATCCACCCGCTCGCCACCTTATTTATCTGTCCACACACTCATACAAACATCCATCTACCCCCTTCTAATTGTACCATCACCTATCCATCTACCATCCACTCATCCATCCGTCCATCTAACTTTCCATTCATTCGCTGATAGATTCATTTTTAAAGAAATAATCTTGTGCCTACAGGTAACAAAAGAAAAATAGACAAATTCGACATCATGAAAATTTAAAAATTTTGTGCATCAAACATACTAATCACAAAGTAAAAAGGAAGCCCACAGAACAGAAGAACATATTTGTAAATCACATATTTGATAAGAGATTAGCATTCGGAATATATTCAAAACTCCTACAACTCAACAACAAAAGCCCAATTTTAAAAAAGGACTTGATGAGACATTTTGCCAAAGAAGATATACACACAGCCAGAAAAAGCACAGTGAAAAAACGTTCGACACCACTAATCACTAGGGAAATGCAACTGAACCCTACCACAAGATACCACCTTGCACCAACTCTGATGGCCACTGTCAAAAAAATCAGAAGATGGCCAGTGCTGGCCAGGATGTGGAGAAACGAGAATACTGGTGAACTGTTGGTGGGAGTACAGAAGGGTGTTGCCAGGTGGTGAACAGTGCCCACACCTGGGGCCCCCTGAAAACTCCCAGCCATGGGAGGGACTCCAGTGCCCATGCCTGAGACCACACCCCCATGGCTCCCAATCCAAGAATTCTAGACTATGCTTATAAAAGTATGAATCTGCCTTGCTGGTGTAGCTCAGTGGATCGAGCACGGGCTTGTAAACTAAGTGGTTGCCGGTTTGATTCCCAGTCAGGGCACATACCTGGGTTGAGGGCCAGGTCCCCTGCTGGAGGAATGTGAGGGGCAACCACACAGTGATGTTTCTCTCCCTCTATATCTCCTTCCCTTCCCCTCTCTCTAAAAAAATAAATAAACACAATCTTTTTAAAAAAGTGTGAATCTCTTAGATTCATAAAATCAGTGCTCAATTCACACCCATATCCCCCAAGGGAAGGGAATAAACAAGCAAGGAAGATAGTGCGTGAATATTTGTTTGGACAAACCAGCGTGTGCATGAGTGGTTTCTGGAGTGACCCGATGAATACGTGAATATTTTTTGAATGGATCAAATCACTCTCTAATAAGTGAGAGAGTGAGCGAGATGTAAGTGAGCGAGCAGATGAGCAGATGAAGTCCTGCTCAAAGGGCAGGGCCCTGAGACGGGGGTACAAGGAGCCTGCATGGGTCCTCTCTCTCACCTAAAGGGCTGGGCCCAGGTCCTTCAGCACCCACTCGGATCATCCGAGCCCCAGCCAAGGCAAGTCCCCGGACCAGCTCTCACTCGGAGTCCATTGTCCCAGTAACCACAGCATCCTCCTGCCGCATGCCTGGTCCTGTCTGGGGTCCCTCCATTCCAACCTCAAGGATGCTGACCAGAGTCCAGGAGTTGATGGGCACTAGCATGAAGGTCAAAGGCACATTCCAGAACTCTGGGGCCAATGTGCAGAAGGCACCAAGCTGGCTCTGGGAGAGAAGATTGGGGTGGCAGGCAAGCCCAGGGGTGACTAAACCAGGGGCCAGACACAGAACAGGGTCCTGTAAGGCCAACTTGAAACAAGCAGCTGCCTGAGGAAGAAGTCTATGCACGGGCTGATGGTCAGAGAGAGGAGGGGCAGGCTCAGTCTCTCTGCTCCAGTCCCTCCTCCCTGTGGCCTGAGGTCCCCCAAACCACTGCCTACTACACCTCCGCAGGGAGATGGGGAAGTAGATAGCTCAGCTGCCGAGTTTATTTAGAGAAGACGCAGTGAGGGCTGGGCTGGGCCTTCCTGTGGTCACGGAGGAAGTGCTAATGGGGGTGGGGAGCGGTGCGGCCAGGAGCAGTCCTCGTGAAACAGCCAGTGGGAAATGAGGAGCCAGACACAGGGTCTCCCCAGAGGTGGGCCAGTGCAACTCGGCCCCATCAGCCTCTGTACCCTGACCAGGGGCAGTCAGAGCTCTGCTTGGTTCTCTCATGACCGGGAGACCCTGTGAGCCTGGGTAAGTGGTCAAGGTCAAAAAAACTTTCCTGGAATGGAGCTTATATCCAGTTTCACCAAACCTTTCCATGTTGGAATCCATTCTCTCCTTGTGTCCGTGAAAACTTCTCCCTGTTGCCCTGAAAACACTCTGGGGATTTGACATATCAGCGCTTACATTCCCCATCACTACTCTGGTCTGCTTTCCTCCAAGGAAAACCTACTGTGTGCCAGGCTCAAGCAACATCACCCTCTGCGCGTGCTACACACTGAGGCTCAGAGAAGTCAGGTGACTTCCCTGAGGCAGCCCAGCCAGGTTTCAGGCGGCACACCCTCCAGAACCCACACCATTTCTAACACACCAGGTTAAGCCTTTTCCCCACTTCTTCCACTGAGCATTCAATTTTGAGTTTGTTTAGCATTTCTGACAGGTAGCAGTCAGTATCCATGGAGGAAAAAAGGGTCCAGAAACTGCACAGTTAACGGCGGGTCAAGGCTGAGATGAGCACCCAAGCCACTGGGACGATGCAAAGGCGTGAACAGAATTAAGAGCTTAATTCTGCTTTAAATGGGTTTGAATTCTCCTTCCTCACTGAGGAAGCCAGGTCAAGCCACCTCCATGAACTTCCAATGTCTCATCTGTAAGACAAGGATAATAGTAGCACCTACTCCACTGGTTATGTCAAGAATGAATAAGATCAGATGCTTGAAGACATGGTACATAGTAATAGTAAATGACTCACGTGGCACATGGCTGTTTTTTTTTTTTTAAATCGAGTGGAGGTGTTAGAATGTTCTCCCACTAGATACCTGTGGCCAGACCCCTGTGGTTATCTGTGTTAAGAATGTCTGTGAGAACTCTCACAGACCACCCAACACAACAGTATCAGTTTACAGATGATAAAATTGGTTTTCTCTTGAGGATGGGATACCAAGTACACATTAGAAACACATTTCTAACTCAGGAGATGGGCCTGTAGGCCATTTGTGGGTTCCCAAGGGTGTTCTCTGGTTTCCCCTTCTCTCTGTCCTGGTTTTTTTTTTTCTTTTCTTGCTGAGCTGGACTTCACAAATCTTCCCTAATGAGGGACTGAGCTTTCATTCCCTGACTGGCTAGGTTAGGACAATGGATATGGAAAAATGGCCAGCCCCTCTCCTTCTATATTAGAATTTAAGTAAATAGGATCTTAATGTCAGAAGAGTTGACCAAGTGAGATGGCCAATATTGGCCATGAGACGTTGAATGGGTGACTTAACATCTCTAAGTCTCGGAGTTCTTCTGTGTAAAACAGGCTCAAGGGTCTCCCCATTGCATGAGAATGTTTTGAGAATTAAATATTATGTTGCGTGTCCAAGAAACCAGGCATATCCAGGTAGTCTCACACATAACACTTTCCTGGGGCCCAGAAGACCCTCTTATTTAGGCCCAAAGAATTCTACAGTTCCTTGGTAACTCAGCCACAGATGGAGGAGAGAGAAGTTTAAACCTTTGAAAGGACAGAAAAAAAGGTGACAAAAAAATAAATAAAAAGAGAGTGGGTAAAATAGTACCAACCTAAAGAGGACCACACCAAGACACATAATAATCAAAATGCCAAAGTTTAAAGACAAAGAGAGAATCTTAAAAGTAGCAAGAGAAAGGCAGTTAGTTACCTGTAAGGGAGCTCCTATAAGGCTGTCAGCTGATTTTTCAACAGAAACTTTGCAGGCAAGACTGGACTCATAAAAAATACTTAAAGGGATAAAAAGCAAAGACTACAACCAAGTCTATTCTATGCATAAAGGCTATCGTTTAAAACTGAAGGAGAAATAAAGAGATTCCCAGATAATAAAATGCTAAAGGAGTTCATTACCACCAAACCATATGCTAAGAAATGTTAAAGGGACTTTTTAAAATAGATTTCTTTTTTTAAAGATTTACTTATTTATTTATCTGTAGAGGGGAAGGGAAGGAGAGAGGGAGAGAAACATCAAAGTATGGTTGCCTCTTGTGCGTCCCCTGCTGGGAACTGGCCTGCAACCCAGGCCTGTGCTCTGACTGGGAATCGAACCGTGATACTTTGGTTCACAGGTCTGCGCTCAATCCACTAAGCTACACAAGCCAGGGCTTAAAGGGACTTTTTAAAGACCTGGCTGGTTTAAAGACCTGGTGGCTCAGCTGGTTGGAGTGCTGTCCTCTGCATTAAAAGTTTGCAGGTTCAAATTCTGATTGGGGCGCGTATCTAGGTTGCGGGTTTGATCCCCTGCCAGGTGCATGTAGGAGGCAACCAGTCAGCTTCTCTCTCACATACGTATTTCTCATTCTCTCCCTCCCTCTCTCTCTAAAATCAATTGAAAAAGAAAACCATGTTCTCAGGGAGGGTTTTTTAAAAATCTCTTTAAGAAGAAAAAGAGGGAAAAACACAAATATAAATGATAAAATGTCAATAACTATGTACTTATAAACACCTTAAATGTAAATGGATTAAATGCTCCAACAGAAAAACACAGGGTAGCCGAGTTAACACACATACACACACACCATACACATGCTGCCTCCAAGGGACAAACTTCAGATCCAAAGACTCACAGACTAAATGTAAAGGGGTGGAAAAAGGTATTTCACCCAAATGAAAATGAACATGAACATGAAAAGCTGGGTGGCAGTACTTACACTTTAAAACAAAGGCTATAAAATGAGACAAAGAAGGACATTCCATCGTAATCAAGGA